AGTAAGTTTAGATTTATTCTTTCTATATCTTTTACTTTTTTGGTTTTCGCTATAGCTTCAAAGGTAAAATTTTACACAAAGTTGTTAAGATAATCCCCCTTTTTTCCCTGCACCTATTTTTATTCGATATCCTCTTATTACTGCCTTAACCCCTTAAGACAGCAGCCAAATGTACAAGTTGTGATCAAAACGTAAACAAAACCTGGCATTTGCGCTATATGTCTGTTCAACCATAATTCACCTAATTCATATTAAATGCACCCACACTTATTATATATCATTTTATTCAGAGGAAACAGGGCTTTCATTTAACATCAAATATTTAGGTATGGAACATAATTTAATATGAATAAAAAATGGGAGAAAATACGATTTTTTATTTTTATTTTCTTAGTTCTACGTGACATTTTTACTGTGAATGTCAAAATACTGTTTGCTTTTACTGCAATAAAATACACATATTTGTATTCAGCGATGTCTCACGTGTAAAACAGTTCCCCCTTTTGTACAGGTTTTATGGTGTTTTGGGAAGTTACAGGGTCAAATATAGCGTGTTACATTTCATTTTTTTCACATTGAAATTCGCCAGATTGGTTACGTTGCCTTTGAGACCATATGTTAGCCTAGGAATAAGAATTACCCCCATAATGGCATACCATTTGCAAAAGTAGGCAACCCAAGGTATTTCAAATGGGGTATGTCCAGTCTTTTTTAGTAGCCACTTGGTCACAAACACTGGCCATAGTTAGTGTTAATATTTGAAAATGCAAAAAACTAATTTGAATGCTAATTTTGGCCAGTGTTTGTGACTAAGTGGCTACTAAAAAAGACTGAACATGCTCCATTTGCAATACCCTGGGTTGTCTACTATTGCAAATGGTATGCCATCATTGGGGTAATTTTCATTCCTGGGCTACCGTACGGTCTCAAATGCAACATAACCAATCTGGCGAATTTCAATGTGTAAAAACTGAAATGCAAGCTTTATATTTGACTCTGTAACTTTTGAAAACACCACAAAACCTGTACATGAGGGGTACTGTTATACTCGGGAGACTTCGCTGAACACAAATTTTAGTTTTTCAAAACAGTAAAAAGTATCACAACAATATCGTCAGTGTAAGTGCCATTTGTGTGTGAAAAATGCAAAAAATGTTACTGTCACTGACGATATCGTCGTTGTAATACATTTTACTGTTTTGAAACACTAATATTTGTGTTCAGCGAAGTCTTCCGAGTAAAACAGTACCCCCCATGTACAGGTTTTATGGAGTCTTGGAAAGTTACAGGGCTAAATATAGTGCTAGCAAATTAAATTCCCTGAACTTTCGCTTTCCCTTTGCACCACATTGTAACGTTTTAATTCATTTTCAGCAAGTCTGCACAAACATTCACTTTTCTTAAACAGCACTAATTACTTATTCATATTTAGTTTCACAGCTAGGCTATCTCCCTATACAACTAAATTTTCTCCTCGTACGGGAGTGAGTTTGGTGTATATAGGTCACCATGGTGACCGGACTCCACATGACGTCAACACGCAGTGGGGGCGGAGCATGAGAGCGGGTGAGCGCGCATACCCGGATGTTCCTATGGTACTCTCCACTCTCATGAATCTTGTCCAGCCCGCTGATCCCGGCCCCCCTGCCTCCGCTCCCTCATATACCACCACAGCTGGCCCTCCCTCTACCTCCTCCCCTCCCGTTGATCTTGCAACACTAGTAGCCGCCCTTTCTGCTTCAATCCATCCTCCCGCAACACTCCCAGGCACCCCTCCCATCCTCCAGGACCCTCCCGCTATCCACACACCGCCACCTCCTCCCGATGTCCCGGCCCCCTCTACCTCGTTGTCTCCTCCCCTCCCGGCTGATTTGCCGTCCCTAATCTCTGCCCTTACTGCCCTGACCCAGCCCCCCGTTCCCACCCCTCCAACCCCTTCTCCAGTGTTACCTCCTCCTCCCGAAGTCCCGGCCCCCTCTACCTCGTTGCCTCCTCCTCCCTCGGCCGATTTGCCGTCCCTGATTTCTGCCCTCACCGCCCTGACCCAACCCTCCGTTACCACCCCTCCAACCCCTTCTCCAGTGTTACCTCCTCCTCCCGAAGTCCCGGCCCCCTCTACTTCGTTGTCTCCTCCTCCCCCGACTGGTTTACCCACGCTGTTACGACCCAGCCCCCTGTTCCCATCCCTCCGACCTCTCCCCCGGTGACCCCTGACCCAACCATGGCCAATGACCTGTCTAGCTCGATATCCGCCCTCTTCTCTGCTGTTACCTCCCTGGTTAATTCCGCGATTCCTGCTCCACCTCCCACTGATTTACCTCCTCCTCCTCCACCTCCACCTCCTCCCCCTGATCCTCCAACCCCTTCTCCGCCCCCCGCTAACATCCCCGAGCCTTCCGATCCAATCTCTGCTCTCGCTCATGTCCTAACTACCCACCTCTCACGCCCATCTCAGCCGGCCCCCACAGCAACCCCATCTATGGCATTGGTCTCTCATGTCTCTCCCACCAGCTCTAGTTATCCAATCATGGTGGTTGGATCCGAAGTGTCTGTGACGTCGGATCAACCCTATGCAGTGGGTGCTTCCCCCCAGGCCTCGGGCTTCCACCCAACTACCTCTCCCATCACCGGTCTCCCTGCCGCCCCCGCCACAGCTACCCCCGAGACTACTCTGCACCGTGGCCCAGTAGCACCCGAGGAGATTGTTGTGGTAGAACAGGATTCACCTCGCCCAGGGGGGAACAGGCTCCCCCAACAGCTCTCTATCCCCCAGGGTTATACCCAGATTAACCATGGAGCGGATGGTGCACCACCCATGTATGTTACCTTCAACCCTTCCCAAGCTGCTACCCTTGTGACCTCACTCCCAGATCCTGAGAAACACCCCATGCCCTTTTTCCGCAGGATGGCTCAAATCCGAAAAACATATTCCGCTGCCTGGCGGGATCTTATAAGTTTGTGTGAAATAAAGGCTGGAGATGCATACTGACCAATCATGGAACGGAGCTTTAATGACGCTCCACTCACTTCTGATACAGATTTTCGTTCTGGTGAAATTTTCTGTGAGCAGCTCCGAGCTTGGGCACAGGATAAATTAGCAGATCAGGCTACTTGTATAAATGACATAATTCAGGATAAGCTTGAGACTGTTGAAAAGTATCACTCCAGATTGACTCAGACTTTCTCAGACTTAGGGTTCAGCACCTATAACAAAGCACACACCCAGATGTTATCTGCAGCCTTTGTGGTAGGCCTTAGGAAACACATTCGTAAGGGGTTGATTTTAGCTCACCCAGAGTACAGAATTATTCCACTGGACACACTTTTGCTGGTAGCCAAGGGTTTAGAATCTGTTCTGCAACCCACACAGCGAAGAACTAGCCCTCTGATGTATACTACCTCTGCACCAATTGTCAGTCCTAACCAAGTTCCTCAGATACTCCCACAACAATACACTCAGTTACCCCAGACACTGCCTGCATCTATCCCCTCTCCCCGGGACCGGACCCTCACGACAATCCGGACCTGTTTTAACTGTAATCAGCCCAGCCACTTCAGAAGAGATTGCCCACACCCTAGAGTAATCCGCCCATAGACTCCCCGGTACCCAAGTCCCCATGCCACCGGCTTTAGTTTCCCCTCCACTGGTTACCTCCCTGCCCTGCCCTTCCCCGCCCCATCCACAGTTGCCTCAGCTTCCTCCTCCTCCTGAATATACCCAAGCCCGGCTCCCTACATCAGAGGCCCGTGCATACACTTCGGCTTCCGCTGAAGGGTTTGACACAGATGATTTCCAAGAGAGTCAGTCACTGCCCCGCCACATTAATCGTCCATCCCGTCCTCCCATGCAATCTAGTAACCCTCCCTCCACTTCCCGCCGGTACCAGGGACCAGATCAGGCCCATTTAGATTTATTACAATAGGTAACTGGCAAGCCTGTGTCAGCAACCCCTGCCATGGCAGTGTCTGCGGGGGATGGGGGAGGGCCCTTGGCTACTGTAGTTCTCCCCGTGGAGGGCCATCCAACTACCTTTCTAGTCGACACAGGTGCAGCCCGTAGTGTTCTCAGGGAACAAGACCTGCCAGATCCTTCCTTCTTATCTGATACCGATGTCTCCTGTGTTGGAGTGGATGGTACACCCCACAGTAACCCCCTTACTAAACTTCTGCATGTAGGTTCACACATTCTCTCCCGGTTTGTTGTTTCCTCTACTTGCCCCATTAACCTCCTAGGTGCTGATGTTCTCTCTCGGCTCCAGGCATTACCTTTACTGCTGATGGTCAGGTCGAGTTAACAACTCCCTTATCACAAAAAGACACCTCTGTCCTCTGTTCCCTCCCCATCTTGTTGAACCTAGCTGACAATACAGGGAATATACGGGTCTCACAAACCCCCAGTGCTCTGGATCGTATCCCCCAAGAACTTTGGTCCACCGGCCCGGATGATATCGGACGTTTGCATGTGCCCCCAGTATTGGTCAAGCTCCTGCCTGGAGCACTGCCTCCCCGTAGGCCACAGCATCCTCTGAAGCCAGCACAAGCTGAAGCTATCACCAAACAAGTTGAAAGCCTACTTGCCAAAGGTGCCCTCATCAAGTGCACATCTCCATGTAACACACCACTTTTCCCTGTTAAAAAGAGAACTGTTAAAGGCCAACCCGACCAGTACCGAATGGTGCAGGATCTCCGTGCTGTTAATGAAGTAACCGTAAAGGACACTGCTATTGTTCCAAACCCACACACTCTCTTGTCCCAGGTTCCACCAACTGCCACAATTTTCACTGTAGTGGATCTAGCCAATGCCTTTTTCAGTGTGCCCCTTGACCCTTCCTGATGTTTTCTCTTCGCCTTCACCCACGAAGGACAACAATACACTTGGACTGTCATGCCTCAGGGGGCCCAGAATTCCCCCACACAGTTTGCTCATGCCATGTCTCTAGTTCTGGAGCCCTGGCAGAAATCTCACTCAGATGTTGTCCTGCTCCAATATGTTGATGATCTCCTTCTCTGTGCTCCTGATTTGCTCATTGCAGAACGTGACTCAGATCTCCTATGTTTCCTCGCTGCAGCCGGTTGCAAAGCTTCCAAATCCAAGCTACAATGGTGCCGGCCCTCTGTGGTCTTCTTGGGACATTGTCTTTCCCATGCAGGGCCGGCGCTTCCTATAAGGCGAACTAGGCAGCCGCCTAGGGCGCCATCGTCGGCCCTTTAAATTCTGCAGCCGTCTGAGCGGTCTATAGAGAGCGCTCAGGCGGCTGCCACAGTGCCTCACCTCCCCTGCCCTGCTGTAGCGTGGCCGAGCTCCTTTCCGGTCCCGCGACCCGGCGGGACTGAAAGGAAGTACACACTCAGTGTGCACTTCCTGTCAGTCCCGCCGGGGACCGTCCGAAAGATAGGGGGGAGGAGGGAAGGGGAGGGAGGGGGAGATGCTGATGGGAGGGGGAGGAGATGATTGATGGGGAGGGAGAGGAGAATGATTGATGGGAAGAGAATGATTGATGGGGGAGATGATTGATAAGGAGGAGATGTTGATAAGGGAGGGAGGGGAAGATGATTTGATGGGGAGGAGATGATGATGGGGAGGGAGGGAGAATGATAGGAGGAGATGTTGATATGAGAGGAGGAGGGGAAGATGATATGGGGGAGGGAGGAAGATGATGATAAGAGAAGTAAGGGGAGGAGAATGATTGATAGGAGGAGAGGAGATGATAATGATGGAGAAGAGAATAGTCAATGGAGGAGGAATGATGATAGGAGGGAGGGAGAAGGAGATGATGATATAGGGAGGGAGGGAGAGATTGATATAGGGAGGAGGAGGGGATGATGGATGGGGGGAGATGGGAGAAGGTGGGGGAGAAGAAGAGAAGATTACGGGGGGAGAAGCAGCGATTACAGGGAGGGAAGGGGGGAGAAGATTACAAGGGAGGAGGGGAGAAGATGAGAAGATTACAGGGGGGAGAAGAAGAGGAGAACACAGGGAGGGGGGAATAAGAGGAAAACACAGGGAGGGGGGGAATAAGAGGAGAACACAAGGGGTGGGAGATGAGAACGTAGGGGAGGGAGAGACCACTAAAGGAGGGAGGGGGCGGTGGAGAGACCACTAGGGGAGGGGTGTGAGGAGAGACCGCTAAGGGAGGGGGGTGGAGGATAGACCACTAGGGAAGGGTGGGGGGAGAGGAGAGACCACTAATGGAAAGTCGGGAAGAAAAGGAGACCACTAAGGGAGGTGGGGGGGAAAGGAGAGACCACTAAGGGGCAGGGGAGATCTCTAAGGAATGGAAGGGAGAGCTCTATAGGACAGGGGGACAGGGAGCTCTTTCACACCACGCACACACACACACACAATGCATCCCTATACACACAGAAACACAACATGCTTCCCTTACACACAGAAAAACACACAATGCAACCCTTACACATAAAGACAATGCATCATTTGCACATATACACAGAAACACACAATGCATTCCTTACACACACATGCAAACACACACTGCTTCTCTTACACACACACAGAAACACAATGCATCTCTTACACACACCTTACAGAAACACACTTTGCATCCCTTATGCATACAAACACAGATTCACACAATGCATCCCTTACACAAAACAAGAAACACACAATACATCCCTGATACACACACACACACACTGCTTCCACTACACACAAACACACTGCATCACCTACACAAACTGGTATCCCTATACACTACATTACGTAAGCACACACATTAGATCCTCTACAGTAACACATAACACATCCCCTACACACTCCACTCCCTGTGAGCGAACTCATGGGTGGAACATGTAGGTGGACTTATGGGTGGGCTTTATGGGCATACTCACCGTCAGGCCCTGGGGCCCAGACCTTGAGCTATGTAAGAGGCCCCAAAAAATGGAGCTGCTTCCCGTTCTCCCAGAACATTGAATTTTGTGACCACAGTTACAAACAGCCTCCAGAGATCCTGTTCTACACCAGACCAGTGGAGCCAGACTGCAGCCAGAGCCCATCACCATCCTCATCTGATTGTAAGTAGGCAATCTAGTATATTATTAGTGACACTAATCTCTAATTTACCTCACATTAAATGGACACTATAGTCCCCAGAACCACTGCAGCTTAATAAAGTTGTTCTGGTGTCTATAGTTTGTCCCTGCAGGCTTTTTAATGTAAACACACACTGTGTGCAGCACTGGCATTAGTTCTATGGGTGGGGCATTGCGATGTTCCGGGGGGGGGGAAGGGGCGGCAAATCCTTCTTTTGCCTAGGGCAGCAAAAATCCTTGCACCGGCCCTGTTCCCATGGCACCAGACATCTAACTTCTCAACGTGTACAAGCTATTTTGCAACTCCCTTTACCTGCAACACATCAGACTCTTCATGCCTTTTTGGGTCTTATCACATACTGCAGGTCCTGGATACCCGAAGCATCAATGCTCATGCAGCCACTCTATGATGCCCTCAGGAGTGAGCCATTTCATCTCACTGAAGAAACTATCACCTGTTTCCACAATCTAAAAAGAGCTATTGCTTCTGCACCTGCCTTGGGCCTCCCAAACTACCAGCTTCCTTTCAATCTGTTTGTCTCTGAAAAGTCAGGACATGCTTCCAGAGTCCTTACCCAGAAACATGGCTCAAGACAGCGGCCTATTGGCTATTTTTCCTGCATGCTTGACCCTGTTGCAAGGGGTAGTCCTTCCTGCCTCAGAGCGGTATTTGCTGCCAGCGCCCTCCTGGACAAGACTAATGATTTGTTCTTGGCCACCACCTCACGGTGGTGGCCCCTCATGACATTACTGCAATCCTGCAACAAGTTCAACCTAAGCACCTTTCTTCTCAACGTCACCTCCGTCTACAAACATCCTTACTTTTACCTGACAATGTGAAACTTCAGCGTTGTCTTTCCCTGAACCCAGCCACTCTTCTGCCACTTCCCAAGGGGGGAGTTGTGCATTACTGGTACAGCCTGGACATCAACCCAGAGGTTCGAGCAGATTTGCAGTTGCCAGCACTTGCACCCCCACATGATGAACAATCAGAGGCCCTACTTCACTGCACCTTATGGTTTAAGGACATACCAGGCCCTGATATGAACTATGAGGAAGAATTATTCCAGCTCAAGGAAATTCAAATTACCCTGACTGACTTATTCTGGGACCCCACAGGTACCATGCTCATCTTAGTCCATCTTCCAGAGAATGTGACACATCTCTATCATCATTGGGAAACAGCTATCCCACACATAGCTCTCACCAGATCCCCTGACACCTCATGGAAAGACCTAGGCCCGATGGCCAAGACCTGGAGTCAAATGAACCAAGAACAACTGACTTCTACGGGGATCAACAAAAAGACTATTAATTACTGTACAGCAGGGTACCCAAGGTACCACACAGAAGCCCGAGAAGACCCACTCATCATAGACTGTGACCTAGATATTCCTCATGATTGTTTTGAACAAATGAAAATGGAAACTACACACCTACCAACTGTCTATGAAGCTGCATTACTCAACCCGGACCAAACACTATTTGTGGATGGGTCAAGATTTGCTGATGAACAGGGACAATATCACACTGGGTATGCAGTCACCACAGGATGTCAAGTATTACAAGCAGCTGCCCTACAACCAACTAAGTCTGCTCAAGAAGCCGAGCTAACAGCCCTGACTGTGGCCTGCAAATTGTCTGAAGGTCTACGTGTGAATATCTACACAGATTCAAGATATGCCCTGGGAGTAGCACATGACTTTGGTCTAATTTGGAAAACCAGAGGATTTCTTACGGCTACCGGTACCCCAGTAAAACATGGGGCAGCCATTGCAAAACTGATGGATGCTTTAGAACTTCCAGCAGAGGTGGCAGTATTAAAAGTAAAAGCCCATGGAAGACTAGACACAGAAGAAGCAGGGGGCAACCACTTAGCTGATCAGGCAGCTAAGGAAGCAGCACGGCAAGGATGGGAAGTGGACAGAAGAGTGGCCACAGATACAGTACCCATCTACACTATGCAAACATTGCCTACAGATCTTAGGCTTCTGAAGGAACAACAAGCTGCTGCTACTCCCCAGGAGAAACAAAGTTGGAAGAACAAAGGAGCTGTACTCCGTGATGATGTTTACACCATGAATCTCAGGTTTTGCTTACCCAGAAGTATGTATTCAGCGGTGGTCCAATGGGCCCATGGGCCAGCCCACCTGTCGAAACATCTGATGAACTCACTGATTGACAAGTATTTTGAAGCACCAGGTATCACTACCGTAACACAGAATTACTGTAAATCATGTACTATATGTGCTAAATGCAATCCTGGAAAGATTATAAAGACTGCACCTAATCACCTAGCCAAGCCACAATACCCCTTTCAGAGGATCCAGATTGACCATATACAAATGCCAAAGAGTGGACGTTATGAATATGCACTGGTCATAGTGGTCATGTTTTCAGGATGGCCAGAGGCCTTCCCAGTGACTAATCTCACCGCGAGAACTACAGCCAAGTACCTTTTGACGGAAATTGTTTGCCGATATGGAGTTCCAGAAGTGATTGAAAGTGACCAAGGGACCTCCTTTACTGCCTCGTTAACACGGGAAGTCTGGTCAGCACACATTATATCATTCCACACATTATATCACCCACAGAGTAGTGGTAAGGTAGAGCGCATGAATGGCACTTTGAAAGCCAGAATGCTTAAAATGTCACAAGAAACTAACATGCCCTGGCCCGGGAGTCTCCCACTAGCATTGTTTAGTGTAAGGTACACTCCTAGGGGAAAATATAGCCTATCACCTTATGAGATTTTGTTTGGTACAGCACCCAGGTTAGGTTGTTACTTTCCCCAACAGCTTCAGATTCAGTCAGATGCTATGGTAGACTATGTGACTGCCCTCTCACATGCCTTGACCAAAATACATGCCCAAGTGTTTTCTTCTATTCCAGATCCTGAGTCGAATACAGGTACACACAAGCTGCTTCCTGGTGATTGGGTTATGGTCAAGAAGTTTCTCAGGAAACACACCCTAGAACCAAGATTTGATGGTCCTTATCAAGTGCTCCTGATTACAGCAACGTCAGTTAAACTAGCCGGGAAGAGTTCTTGGATACACGCCTCACATTGCAAAAAAGTGCCTGCTCCAGCAGGCACTAATCCTGCTGAAATATGAATTTATTATGGGTCTTGTGTTTTCTTATGCTGCTACACTTTGCCTGGGCCCAACAAGTGGCCATAACCAAAGATAATCATGTTTACACTTTCTGGTACAATTCTTCTAACACAGATGTAGCTACGTACACCTTTGATTACTGTGACATAGTTGCTTGCACATTTCCACAAACACAATATGCAGCCATATACAAAGACATACCTAACAAAAAGGATCCATACATTTGTGTGACTGGAGGAGTTTGGGGACACCATTGTAGTTCATGGAAAGCTGCCGGGTGGAACACGGGTAGACCATGGGGCTACAGAACCCAGATTGCACTGGACAGACTTGACAAAGACGGGAAGCCCCTACTTTCTAGAATGACCCTGAGTAAACCCACAGGGTCAACTCCCATTAAACTTACCTTGAACATAGAGCACCCCAGCCCAAAGGATGCAGGGGAATATGTAATGGGAATATACTGGAAGGGAGGTGGCTCACATAACACACTGGGGACATTTTACCTACAAGACATGCTCACCTCACCAGACTGGGTAGGGACCACACACATGATCATTAACCCGTTAAAACCACATATTAAGACCCTACATGACATGGTAGCTATAGCCAACCCCACCTTTGAAGACACTATGGCAGTGGCTAATTTGTGGCTAGAATGGATGAGGTATAATGCCAACTCACATAATAAGACTAACTGCTATGTATGTGGAGGAGCCAGGCCCCATCTGGGCACGGTACCCCTAAGTTTACCTCCTGAAATAGAACTATGTGTCTTAAGCCTCTATGCACAGTCCACCACAAATTCCTCAACATGTGAATCGTGGAAGAGAGTTTACCCAATCACTCATGGACATGTCAAGCCACCTGATGGAGTCACAGTCTATCCAGGTAATTACACATGCTATTCAATACCTAAGAACACTGGTGTATATCTGGGCAAATTCCCATCAGGATACTGCTCAACTTACCATAGTCCACCTGTATCACTGTTAATGAATCATACAAAGACAATCGGTGATATCTATTGGTTATGTGGTGACAAACAATTGAGGTCCCAACTAGCTGGGCAATGGTGGGGGGAGTGTGCCCTAACCAAAGTTATAATGCCTATCCACATTATTCCAGATGGTAGTCATAACACATTAAACCTTACACATGTACATTCTAGAACCAAACGAGAGGCTCCCATCCGAGGGAGCTTCGACCCCCATGTGTATATTGATGCCATAGGTGTGCCAAGGGGGGTGCCTAACGAATTCAAGGCAAGGGATGAAGTGGCAGCAGGATTTGAATCCTTAATTCCAATGATAACTGCCAATAAGAATGTCAATTGGATCAATTACATCTATTAGAATCAGCAGCGCTTTGTTAATTACACATGGGATGCCCTACAGGGCCTGGCGGAGCAATTACAAGCCACTACCCAAATGACATTTCAGAACAGAATATCCCTAGATATGATTTTAGCTGAGAAAGGGGGTGTATGTAAAATCCTCCCTGAGACTATGACATGCTGCACATACATTCCAGACAACACTGGGCCCAATGGTAAGGTGACTATGGCCATAGAGAAGCTAGATAGTCTTTCTGACGAGCTAAAGAAGAATTCAGGAGTCACTGACACTTGGGACAGATGGTTTGGGTGGATGAATGGTTGGCAAAGGACCCTCTTCCAGGTAGGAACAGCTGTTCTTATAATGATTATCATCTTCTTATTCTTAACCTGTTGTGTGCTCCCTTGCATACAGAAGTATTTACAGAAAGCAGTAGGGAAGACTATAGATGACGTTACCCCTACTTTCCTACATCAAGACATCACAGACCTCGAAGATGACACCCCACATACACCCCTTCAATCACATCAGTTTAAACAGACAACTGCATTTCTGTAGGGACAGTGTAGGGAAAGCGTCTGTCTTTACGGGCAAGTCTCACGTGCGGAGATGTGGTGGACTAGCTACTGCGGGTTACCCACGGAGTGAAGAGTTCGATGCTTGTGAAGACAGATGAGCTGCAGGCAGCTAGGGATACACTAGGGACAGTAGCAAGTTGTCATAGTAAATAGCCATTTTAGGGGGGACTGTTGTGGAAATAAGGTCTGCACATATTTCCTAGTTAATGAAAATGTCTATTTACTCATTTCACTATATAAGCTATGCACACATGTTTTAATCAAGATGGCTGCTAGAAGCTTCTAACCCCTCCTTTCCTCCCCCCCTCCCTTTAACACCAACTAACTACCTCGTGCAGCAAGATGGCGCTGGGAAACCGTGGGAGACCCTCATGGCCCTGGTGACATCACCCCCAGTAGGTAGAGCATTAGAATGACCACTTAACACCTAACCAATTATTGATGTATTATTCCATGTTATCTCTGACAATGCTTATGATGTAACTTTGCTTTAAAAGGGACCTGCCGTCCCCTCTGAATAAACTTTCCTCAAGTTATTCAACAACCTAGAACCTGTGTCTGGTGTGAATTACTTCAGGGAGCGTGCACGCATTGTTTCATTGATTTGGCCAGGGGCAGATACACAAAAAAATAATCAATACCTTGATTGATTTTTCCATTTCATGATATATTAACAACAGGTGGACAAACCCACTCCACTAAAGTCCCCACCAGTATACCTCCCGTTGTACATGTGTCAGGACGCAGATTGCTTGGGTTGAAGCTTATGTTTTGGGCTTTGTTCCCGGAGCAGTATGGCGGTCAGGCTCCGCCCCCATTGGGGTTAATTAAAAAAAAAAAAAAAATAATACACTGCAGTATGGTCAGACCATGTAGCAATAGAAATGTTACAACTTAAATTCTCATCAAAGTGTCTTTTGATAGGTATAAGTGGAATGTAATTGAAAAAAAGATATAGTCCTTCACCTCCAGCTTTAATGTTTTCCATATATCAAGAATCTTTTTTTTTTTTAAATCCTCAAATAGTTTTTTGCTCTTGCATTTATTTACAATTCAAATTTTTCCCATTGTGAATGTATTTATTTTTTATCCGTATTCACATCACATATTGAATTATAATCCCCTCCTATTATAAATTTACCTTGTGAAGCCTTTTCTATTTGTGTCATTAGTAAATTCAGAAATGCTATAGTATTTTTGTGTGGTGCATATACATTTACAGTTATTAACAATTCATTATTAATTGTGCTTATTAAGATGATATACCTCCCTTCTTCATCTATTTCTTTATGTATTATTTCTAGTGAGATATACTTTCTGATTTGAATTAACGTGCCTCTACTTAATTTTTTTTTTTTATAATTAGATAAAATTTGGTGTGGGTATCATTTGTCCTCTTCAATATAGAATGAAATCCTTGGGCATTATTTGAACAAAAATGTACCATTCCTTACTTCCCCTCCTTTTTCATCGACCCTTTTTCATCGACCCTTTTTCTTTTTTCTCTCTTACTCTGCCCGCAATCCCTTCCATGCCATTCATTCATACTCGGATACATTTTGGTCTGAAAAACTAAGACCATTATTAAAGCTTCCACTTAGAAGCTAGCAAATTAGAGATGTGGAGCTTAGTTGGGGGTATACAAATTTAAGTTTTAAAACTAACTTAAAAATAAATATAGCCACTGCCCGGAGAGCCCTGAATCCTCTCCCCCTTTTCTATTAAGTCTTCCCTTTTTCTTAGCTATTCCCTTAAAGGTTAACAATGCTATTCTTGCTCAGAGACTGGGAATACAATTGCATTGTTTTAGCAACTGGAGGCCTTGTTCTCTTGAACTTATTAGATATTTTTCTTCATTATATGTCAATAAGATTTTGGCTGGGTAAATCTCAAATTTTGTTTTGTTAATATTTCTGTTACAGGTCTTAGCTTGTCGTTGTCGGGTTCTGTTGAAGAGATCATTCATAATGCTTAGATTTTTATATTTTCCGTTATTCCATATATATATATATATATATATATATATATATATATATATATATATATATATATATAAAGAGAAACATACAGTTATGTCTGTTGGGATGTGTTCTGGTATTTCTGGAGGCTTGAAGGTTCTATGGGCTCTAAACAGTAGAACTTCTTTATAACCAACGTCCCTTGCAATTTCTTTAAAAGTCATCCGTAATAAGTTTTTTTTTTTTAAAGGTTTTTTTTTATTGAGACCTATAGAATGATCCTGCTTATAATTATCAAGTGAACATTAGAGTGTCATGTCATAGACACACACATATATATATATATCCGAAATAATCAGCACTCCCAGGATTCGTAAAAAAAGATTATTGTTTACTCCATATGTCGACGTTTCAGCTCCACTTGGGAGCTTTCATCAGGACAGCAAAAC